TCTTAAAAAAAAAAAGATTTGCTGAATAAACTGAATGAATCAACAATTAAAAAAAATACAGTCATGATCAAATGCTGTTTAACCATATGTGGGTTTTTTAGAGTTTTTCTGTTAAAAAGTTGAAACTTTTCTTTTTTTTTTTTTGCTCCGAATGCCTTCAGGACAGGTTTGGCTGGCTTGAGTTGTGGGGATCGAACCACAGCAACCTGAGCCTGACTGCTTTGTTGAAGCAGCCACTTAAAGAACTGAGCTAAGGGGCAGGCCCCCTAAAAAGTTGAAATTTTTCTAAAGGAAAGTAAAATGATTAGAATTTACTCTATAGAGAATTTACCTGTTCAAGAAAAAAATCATCTTTTCAACCAACTTTCTTTCAACATTTACATTTGGTAGAGATAAACACAGTGAACAGTTCATTTAGATGTGGTAAAGATTTGTCTGCATGTTTTAAGGCCTTTTGTAACTAAAAAGAAACAAATATAACTGTCATCCTCATTAGTATAGGACAGTGATGGTAAACATTTTAGAGCTTTCAGTGGTGATGTAAACACTGCTACAGGCTGTTTTACCTAGTGACTGATTTCTGGGCATAATGGTCACTCTCTGAGTTTTTTATTCTTTGTTATAGTAAATATATATTTAATAATTAGATGCCCATCTACTTCAGTTAGTGTTTGTCAAACTATGCCCCTGAATAGGTAGAGTTAGAAGGAACAGTAGGTAATCATGAGAGGGAAGTGGGTGGTGAAACAGACAGGAGTCGGGGTTGCCTGGCACTATATCAATAAGATCAGCTCTGTTTTTATGTTTTTATGTTGCAGAATATATATATATATATATTTTTTTTTTTTGAGAGTTCTTTTACTTTAAAAATATATATGTATACAAAAACTTCTTAGTTTTTCTTGAATTCCATATATGTGTAATCTCTTTTTGGCTTTACTCTTTAGACCCTGTGTTGGGCTATTTGATGAAAGGCCTGTGTGAAAAGCCCCTGGCTTCTGCGGCAGCTAAAGCCATTCATAACATTTGCTCCGTCTGCCGAGATCACATGGCTCAGCACTTTAATGGCCTCCTGGAGATTGCCCGATCCCTTGACTCCTTCATGTTATCTCCAGAAGCTGCTGTGGGCTTGCTAAAAGGTATTTCATTAATATGTTGACTAGTAACAATCTTCTGTAGGCCACTGGTTCTCGTTGTCTTACATAAGACTTATTGCAGTTTTTTAGTTGTAATGTACATAATAATGGTGAAGGTAGCTTTTCTACTCAGAAGAGTGTTAACTATGTGTGCTTGCATTTGTGTGTGTAGCACAGATTTAGATTTTGTATAGAGACAACACACTTGAATTAAACATAGTTGCTTTTTAAGTTGGAGGAACTAAAACAGAAGCTAAATAAGTAGGGTATGCCATTCCAAAAAGATTAAGTGGAAATTGCAAGGTCATGTGCATGGATCCGCATGAAAAGTAAAAACAAGGGCCTGCTGGCTCGTTAGTCATTGTTACGGGGCTACTTACACTGTGAACCTGCCTATACAGAGGTGAAAAGCTAGCATGGTGAGAGGCTCAGACTGATGATAGAAGAACTAGAGATTGTGAGGTTAGGAAAAAAGACAGAAGCAACTGTAAGCATGACAGTTTTTTTTTTTTTTTTAAACATTTAGAAGATTATGTTATAAAAAAGGATCACACTTTGTGAGTATTCACTTCTCAGCCATTTAGAGGGAAGCACATACTGGGTCCTAGAAAGAAAAGTATGTTCTAGCCAAACTTTCTGAGAACAGATTAGGGTGCCCTTGAGGTAGTGAAATCTTTCTAGCTGGCAAATTGGAAGGGGTTGCAGTGTTAAAAAAGTAAAGGATCAGGAAATACGACCTGTGTTAGTATTTTTTGAGCCTACATATCAGTCTTTACAGGAGTATATGTCCTAATGTGTGAATGAATTATGTTCTCTTGTTTCTGTCACCAGGTCCCTCACTAGCTCATGGATCTGTGCTTTTTTCATAGATAATTCTTTCTGTACATGGGTTTTCTTGTTTATATAGATATAGATAATAAGACATTAAATCTGAGTCAGATATTTTTGCTTATGATGTAACCATGATGCTGAAATGGTGTCTAACCTGAAGTAGACTGGTCTGCTAGTTATCAGTGATATCTTCTACATGTAGAAAACTGTTTGGGCCAAGGATTTAGCCCAGTGACTCAGGTCCTGCCTGACAAATGCAGGATCCTGAGTTTGATTCCTGGTACCAAAAAAAAACAAACAAAAAAAAAAACACCCTATTTGGTGTGATTTTTATCTTTAACAATGAATTTCAAAGGAAATCATAACTCAATTTGTGTCCCCCCACCACACACACACACACACACACACACACACACACACAGAGTTTTAAGTCTAACTCATC